TGCCGGATGAGGCCGGCAGACCCCACCCGACCCAGCGAGCTCGAGGCTTGTCCGCGTTCGCGACGCCTGGGGCAAGCTGAGCTCGGAAACGACCTGCGGTGCCACCCGCCTGTCCTTCCCTCGCTCGCATACCGTCATTTCTTCCCATTTTCGGCCCAGAGCCTCTGGCAAAGGCTCCGGGCCTCACTCCCGGGTTCCCCAAGCCGGGTGTGATGGGTTGGCCCCAAGTGTGCAAGCCATCCCCCCAATCGTTCCACGTGCCGCGGCGGCCTGCCTGCGGCGGGATGACAACGACACCCGCACAAGCCGGGTGTGCTCCATCCCTCCCTCCAGGCTGAGGTCCACGCTCAGCCCCGTTAGAAACGAGGCCTCGCTGTTCCTTCGTCGACCTGGTTCGCCTCCAGCCCAGGAGGCACACCATCTACCCATCGCCCTCCAAGGAGGGCGCAGGGTAGCTGAACTGGCCAACCTGCAACGGTTTCCCGTTGCCCTTTCGACTCCTCAAATGATCGGTGCTCTGCATTGAATCTTAGCCAGAGCCGGCCCTGCCTTTCTCGGCACCTTTTTCGTTTTGGCCAGGGCATCTCCCCCCACCGTACCATCTCCCTTCATTTTATCAGGTGATCCTCCACACCTCGAGAGCTCCCTGCCCCCTCCGCTGGGGTCTGTGCGCACCAACCCTCCAAAGAGGGTCCATGCGCATGTCTCACGGGACGCTCCCCCCCGGATCACAGAGTGCCGCCCTTCGTGGCCCGGGCCGGTGCCTCATAGGACCTCATGACAAGCTCGACTTTATACCCAAACATCCGGCATTCGGGCCCCAGCATGCCCCGCCTTCACAGCGCTCTACCCTTGTCCGGCCAAGCTTGACCACCGAAACATCCATCCGAGCAAGCTGACTTGGCAATCGCCTTGCGTTGATTGCCGTGTCTGACACGTGCGTATCGGCTGGTTCCAGAGCGCCACCGAATACCGTGGTGGACTTTCGAGCTCCTTTCCCAATCGACCCACTGTCGTAATAAGCCGGGTTTCATGGGCCAGAGGGGCATCCTCTATAGGTCCAATTCCCCATCTCGGCTCTGACCACTGCCGCTGACCGGTTTGTGCCCGCCGCCTACTATACAGGAAGTAGGATGCACCAAACCGATCGCCTACCGCACTGGTAGGTTTGCTTAAGAAGTGGCCCCTCACGCGTCAGCAAACAGCATTGCTCCTCAAGATGCTTCGAGGTTGGGCAAGCCCGTCCAAGAAGAGTCATCACACTGATCGTCGGGACAAGCCAACCCGATCCCATCACAGTCTCATTTCTTGACAATTCCAAGAGAGCTCGGTGCTAGTGCCTAGGTGGTTTTTATGCCACCTAGGATGCAAGCACATCCTTCTCAAGGCCGTACAGCAAGTGGGACATACCTCCCTTCGTTACTCCGGCTGGTTGCCTTGCACCGATTCAACCACCTCCGCATAAAGCTGGATAGCCGGGATTCGGGCCCCAGTGGCCGTTTGGCTCAGTTCGGTATGCCCCTCTTACGTATCGGGCTCAGATATGGTACTCGACAACGCTTGCTTTACTCCGTTCCACCAGTGTCCCAGTATCCGCCAGCTAGGCCCAGGGTACCCGACTTGGGCTCCATCTTGTCTTTTAGGGGCATGACCAAGGGCAACATCAACCCTTTTTCCATACTCTTAGCGCCTTCCCCTTTTTTTGTGTGGTGCTCGTTTGTTAGATTATGGGTACGGGACTTTAACATGCCACACACTGGCTTCCAGTTTGAGCAAGCGTTACCTTTCACGTATCCGAGTGGCTAAGGAGACGGGCTTCCTCAACCTCCACAACAAGATGTGAGTGGGCTGTGTTTCTCTACCGAGCGCTACAGACCGAGGCCTCATGCTCAAACCAGAGAAACAACCAGCACAGAACCCGGCGTTGCCACCGAGCCATCCCATTGCAGCCATGACAAGATACGAGTTGGGTTACATCTACCGAGTGCGACAGACCGAAGTTTGACACTCAAACCAGAGGCACTACCAACCCAGACTCGACATTGTGGTCGAGCCATCTCATCGTGAGTGGAAAGACACGATGCTAGAGACATCCACCGTAACTGAAACAGCCCGGCGATTTCTCCCATGCACCACGAAAGCATTAACTCCCACGTGGCATCACCATGCTTCCGATTGTCATTCCACGTTAAGAAAACTCTAGGACACACCGTCCTTGACCTACTAACATGTTCAGGTACCCGTGCATCGTCCTGCGTCCGACCGAGATCGTCCGCAGTCAACATGGGTCTCATTCCAGGTTTTTGGCCTCAAGTGAGCTTCGAGCTTTCCCCCTGAAAAAGAGTTGACCATCTCAACCACTGCATATGAGTTTTGCAAGTTGCACCGACATCAACTTCTTTATGGCAGTGGTTGAGCACCCAGTTGGTTCAGACCCCTTGCGAGGAGTGATTCGATTGGGTCCTCCTCTTTTTCCCTGGTTCCAATAAGCCTGAATCCTACCCTCCCCAACCCATGGGTCAATGACGCCGCCTCGCAACGAGGGGGGGCCACCTAGCCATAGGCGGATTGGGATACGAAACCGACCGCATATTACCAGTGTCAAGAAGTTTGTAGGGACCGAGCGGACCCAAAGAGTAACCTTCCTCCTTGGGTATTCCACCTTGCTTGTGGTTCGAGGGCCAGTTCCTCCTCTCCCCATTTTACCAGGTGATCCTCCGCACCTGGAGAGCTTACCGCCCCCTCCGCTGGGGACTGTGCGCACCAACCCTCCGAAGACAGTCCATGCGCACGTCTCACGGGACGCTCCCCCCCGGATCACAGAGTGCCGCCCTCCGTGGCCCGGGCCGGTGCCTCATAGGACCTCATGACAAGCTCGACTTCATTCCTAGGTAATCCGCCTTGCTTGTGGTTTGAGGGCCAGTTCTCCTCTCCCCGAATTATTGCTACGGAAAGGCCTCGGATTACCTTGGCTTACCGACTTTTCAAGCAACCGTCCTCCCCAAAGATTAGTGAGAAGAGGTGAAAGGCCACTTCCCCCTAACCTTCTTAGGCTAACCACCTGGATTACGTTGGCTTACCGTCGTTTGGCGCAACCGAGTGACCCTTGCCAAGGTTCGGGGAGAGGTAGAGCACCCCTTCCCCCGGATTTTCTTAGGCCAAGCACCCGGATTACGTTGGCTTACCATCGTTTGGAGCAATCGATTCCCAGATGCCAGGGGTTGGGGAGAGGTGGAGCACCCCTCCCGCCCAGTATTCTTAGGCCAATGACCTGGATTACGTTGGCTTACCATCGTTTGGGGCAATCTATGCCCACATGCCAAGGGCTGGGGAGAGGTGGAGCACCCCTCTCCTCCGGTATTTTTAGGCCAACCACCTAGATTATGTTGGGTTACCGTCGTTTGGGGCAATCGATTCCACCATGCCAAGGGTTGGGGAGAGGTAGAGCACCCCTCCCCTTTGGTATTCTTAGGCCAACCACCTAGATTACGTTGGGTTACCGTCGTTTGGGGCAATCGATTCCACCATGCCAAGGGTTGGGGAGAGGTAGAGCACCCCTCCCCTTTGGTATTCTTAGGCCAACCACCTAGATTACGTTGGGTTACCGTCATTTGGGGCAATCCGATCCCCCATGCCAGGGGTTGGGGAGAGGTAAAGCACCCCTCCCTTCCGGTATTCTTAGGCCAATGACTCCGATTACGTTGGCTTACTGTCGTTTGGGGCAACCGGATGCCCCAAGCCAAGGGTTGGGGAGAGGTAGAGCACCCCTCCCATCCTGTATTCTTAGGCCAATGACCTGGATTACGTTGGGTTACCGTCGTTTGGGGCAACCGAATGCCCCAAGCCAAGGGTTGGGGAGAGGTAGAGCACCCCTCCCCTCCTGTATTCTTAGGCCAATGACCTGGATTACGTTGGGTTACCATCGTTTGGGGCAACCGAATGCCCCAAGCCAAGGGTTGGGGAGAGGTAGAGCACCCCTCCCCTCCTGTATTCTTAGGCCAATGACCTGGATTACGTTGGGTTACCGTCGTTTGGGGCAACCGAATGCCCCAAGCCAAGGGTTGGGGAGAGGTAGAGCACCCCTCCCCTCCTGTATTCTTAGGCCAATGACCTGGATTACGTTGGGTTACCGTCGTTTGGGGCAACCGAATGCCCCAAGCCAAGGGTTGGGGAGAGGTAGAGCACCCCTCCCCTCCTGTATTCTTAGGCCAATGACCTGGATTACGTTGGGTTACCGTCGTTTGGGGCAACCGAATGCCCCAAGCCAAGGGTTGGGGAGAGGTAGAGCACCCCTCCCCTCCTGTATTCTTAGGCCAATGACCTGGATTACGTTGGGTTACCGTCGTTTGGGGCAATCGGATGGCCCATGCCAAGGGTTGGGGAGAGGTGGAGCACCCCTCCCCCCCCTTATTCTTAGGCCAATGACCTGGATTACGTTGGGTTACCGTCGTTTGGGGCAATCCGATGGCCCGTGCCAAGGGTTGGGGAGAGGTAGAGCACCCCTCCCCTCCTGTATTCCTAGGCCAATGACCTGGATTACGTTGGGTTACCGTCGTTTGGGGCAATAAAGTCCCCAGAACCCAAGTGATGGAATCCATCCGGATCGGACCCCGGATGGGTTTGATCGAACCCATTCGGATGGAACCCATCCGGACCTGGATCGATCGAACCCATCCTTATCGAGCCGATCCGGATCCGGATTGATCGAATCCGTATGGATCAAACCCATCCGGATCCGGATCAATTGAACCCATTCGGATGGAACCCATCCGGATCCGGATCGATCGAACCCATCCGGATCCGAGTCGATCGAACCCATTCGGATAGAACCCATCCTTATCGAACCCATCTGGATCCGAGTCGATCGAACCCATTCGGATCGAACCCAGCCGGGTCCGGATCGATCGAATCCGTCCGGATCCGGATCAAATGAACCCTTTCGGACCCAAACCCGTCCGGATCCGAGTCGATCGAACCCATCCGGATCCGAGTCGATCGAACCCATTCAGATAGAACCCATCCCTATCGAACCCATCCGGATCCGAGTCGATCGAACCCATTCGGATCGAACCCATCCTTATCGAACCCATACGGATCCGATTCAATCGAACCCATCCGGATCCGGTTTGATCGAACCCATTCGGATGGAATCGATCCGGATCCGAGTCGATTGAACCAATCCGGATCCGAGTCGATCGAACCCATTCGGATCGAACCCATCCTTATCGAACCCATCCGGATCCGGATCGATCGAACCCATTTGGGTCGAACCCATCCGGATCCGGTTCGATCGAACCAGTCCTAATGATGGGAGCCTGTGGTGCTCACTGGACATACAGACGCATTGTGGGTTGATGACATGGAGATGCTCAGTTTCTTACACGGCTTCTGCTTTAGTCTTGGTTCTGGTGCAGTCTTGTGGAGCTCCACTAGTTCGTTGTCAGTAGCTCAGTCCAGTTGTGAGGTAGAGATCTACGCCAGGGCCATGGCCGCCCAGGAGCCCTGTTGGCAGTCGTTCCTGCTCACTGACTTAGGTGAGTTGCCTAGGTCTGCCCCGGTTCTGTTTACTCACAACAGGGCCATGATCCTCCTATGTCAGGAGGCTCAACTAGAGGGTAGGGCAAAGATTCAAAGTTCATGAGCTTGCGTTACAGTTGCGGCGTTTACAAAGTGAAGTTGTGGGGTGACTCACTATGGAGTTGGGGCCTTTGAGGGTTGGGAAAATTCGTCACTCTACTGTAGCAGCTGCAAATTGGTTGGGAACAACCAAACTAGGTTGGCAAGGGTGGCCAACTTGGATGGATTGGTTGGGAAGGGACAAAGGTCAAAGTTGAGGTTCCAATAGGGAGGAAACTTTGTGCTTATGGGGTTTCCTTGATTGGGGACTCTCTCGAGACCTTTCCTTTCATCCCTCTCTTTCTATCCCAACCTTTCTCTTGCTCTAATTCCTTGTGAAATTCTTGAACCTTGATTAAAATTTGAGATTGAGTTAAGTTCTTCTCCTACAGCATACCCCTCCGTGCGTCGAAAGTCATAGCGTCGCGAATACTCCATCAATCAACGTGATTCAACTTGGAAACGGTAGCGGAGGTTAAGAGCTACAACATACCCGAGTTTCGCGGCATTTTCACAGCTAGGTTTTTTGTCGACAACGTTTCTTGTGGAGACGACTTTTCTGTCCAGAATTTCGGATTTATATTTTGAGTAATTCTAGCTCCTAAGTTCACCTAGACTCCGTCCTTAGTCCTAACAGTTACCACCTGGGAAACCACGTGAAAAGCCATATGCATGTGGTTGTGCTGCCGCCCCCCCTGCCTAGTGGCGCGGCCCCGTGCACGCATCAGCCGCTCCCTCCCCATCCCCAGCCACATGCGCCTTCCGCCCTTCGCCCCGCTCCAGGCGCTCCCCCCGCTGCCCGCGGCTCTGCTGCTACGGCCTTCGCCTTGGTGGGGGTCGCGTGGGAGCGATGCGTTAGGGAGGAGCGCAAGGAGCGCATCAACGGTGGCGACGCCCGCACTCTCCAGGAATGCGTTGATTTGCGCCTCCGCATGCAGCAGCCACCAGCCCACGTGCTGCTGTCAGGTGGATGCAGCAAGGGGGAGCATGAGAACGGCAGTGGCGGCGGTGTCGCGCGCGGCACCCTGCACAATCGGCCCGCCACGCGCCAACATCGGCCGTCAGATTGCCTACGGCTATCAGGTTCAGGGGGGGGGCACACGGTGGCTCACTGCCAGGACTGCCGGGGCCGTCAGGCCCTCCACGCGCCGTCCTCCCACCAGATCCGCTGTAACCATCAGGTCGACCTCCGCCAGGTGGACGGCGCTGCCCCAAGGTGGGCGTGGCTGCGAGAAGGATGCACATGATGACCGTCTTGCCTGGTATTGCGCTCCAGTTACAGTAACGTGGTGAGGATAGTGGGTGGGTTTCTGCTATGGCTGTGGAATTCGAATCGGAGCTTGGGAGAGGCAAGTCGAGGAGAAGGTTGAATTAGGTCACTCAATAGTGGCCCACTCTGGGAGAGGATGGATGAATTAGGTCGAGAGTCAAAGGGCTAATATAGGCTCGACTCTCGCCCTAGGGGAGGAGAGTTAACGCAACGGGGAAACATATTCGTTAGTTTGGTGTCCGACTGAGCCTTACGAATATGTTTTCCTAGGGGTAAATCAAGAGGCTTTGGAAGCGTACCAGATTGTCGAAGGCTATTGTGGAGGCCAGGTGTTGAAAATGGGAGACATTGTTTAACGCATCAGTCAACAACCCAGAGGATGCTGGGGTGCATCATCTTCCACACGCACAAATCTCGCACAATGTTCGATATAGCAGTGATCAAGTTTGGAATGGAGCAAACATGAACAAACTAGTGGACAAATATAAACTAGTCCCGTCACACATGAGCAGCAGACTTCCATTCCATATTTCTACGGAGGCTGAGTTTGGCATCCTTCCTTAGCGAATCCTAGCTAACCTCGCATACACCCTGGCCATCGGAAGTTTAGGCTTGGCCCAACAACTTCGGTCCCGAACTATGTTCGAGACCTCCAAGCCTGCACGTGGAGTTGGGTCCAATACGCCCGAGTCCCAAGGCGCCCTAACCACCTCGCGGGGATTTCGTGGCCCAACCTCGAGGGTCCTCGCTAGGCTAGCTGTGCTTCTATTTAGCTCTATGCTTCATTTGTACTCAGCAGACATTAATCACTACTCTTTATTGCATTACTCAATTCCCATACAAAGATTAACATGTAACAAGACTACACTAGATTGAGAGAAGTTTGTGGCACAAATGCCATACCAGTCAGAAAAATAATGGTTGCATGTACCAGAGCAGTAAGTACAGCACATGCCAAATAAGTCAAATTTATCTCCCCATTGCCCCACACGCTTTCCTCCATCAAGTCCATTTCTACAAGTACTACCATATTCTCCAAGATA